AGGAGTACTTCAAGGTGACCTCAGACAGTACCAGCTTTTGAATACTAACAGGCTTCTAGGTTGTTTACATATGCAATAGATGTGTGTCTGCTTTTCAGTGTGTTTTTTGCCTAGTGATAGGGCATTTTATCTTAAAAATGAGCTAAATCACAGGTGTAGGTCTTAGTGTAAGGACAAGTGAGTTTATCCAATGTGAATATAAAACATGCCCAGTGCTACATCATGGAGTGATTGGTTGGCACTTCTTGTGTTATTATAAGTATGTCACCTATGTTGAGGTGGAGACAGCCAAAGGGACAATTCATCATAGTCCTCTTAAGTGGCATGAGTCACACAAGAATGGTGTAAAAATGAAGCCACTCTTAACAGTAGACGGTTATATGACACTTTATATACAACAGGAAACAGACAGAAGGAAGTATTACCCGTGTGCTGATCAACACCAACCAGCCCTTCACTCAGAATATGGTAAGTACCAAGAATTGTTCCAGGAGATGTTGGGGAACTGTGCTCTAGTTTACTTTCTGTTGCTGTAAATTACTAAGCCAACTTAGGAAGAGAACTCAAGGAGCCAGAAGCAGAAACCAAGGAGGAGTGCTGGTTGCTGGTTTGCTCCGTGGCTCGTGCTCAGCTAGTTTTCTTATACTACAGACTCACCTGCCTAGGGATGGTACTGCCCACAGTGCTTGAGGCCCCCTCATACCAGCCACCAATCAAGACAGTCTCTTACAGACATGGTCCCAGGTCAATCTGATCTGGACAAGTCTACAACTGAGGTTCCCCCTTCCCAGGTGACTCTAGGTTGTATTAAGTTGACAGTGAAAACTATGGATACAAGTCAATGAATTAGCCTTGGGCATAATTCACATTTCACATAGACAAATACAAGAGAAAGCTTCATCTCTCCTGGAAGACACACTTTAAGTAAAATAAAAATCTAACAGTCAGAATTGTACAGGACAGACCCAGCGATGAATGCAAAGCAGGAATATCCCTGGTAGTGTAAGAGTTAATGGGATCTTCATGGCTTTTCTGGGGTGCTGCCACCTCAGCCTCCCACTACATGAGGACTGGGAGAGGAGTGTGTCCACAGAAAATAGAAAGAGAAAGCATGGGCAAGGAACTTGGAGTGTTAGAGCTTAGGGATGCGACTGAAGGGCAGAAGATAGACAGGAAGCAGGAAGTGAAGAACCAGGTGGAGAGGGATCAGACCTGGTTGAAAGGCATTGGTTTATTTTTTAATGTGTGTGTGTGTGTGTGTGTGTGTGTGTGTGTGTGTGATGAGAGAGAGAGAGAGAGAGGGAGAGAGAAAGGGAGAGAGAGAGAGAGAGAGCACTGTGTTTAGGAAAGTGCAGGTGCTTGTTGGAGTCAGAAGGGGGCATCAGATCCCCTGAAGCTGGAGTTAGGCAGTTATGAGCTATCTAATGTGGGTGCTGGGAACTGAACTCAGGTCCTCTACAAGTGCAGTACATGCTCTTAACAACTGAGCCACATATTCTGGCCCCCTTCATGTGGATCTTATTGGTGTTTAGAACTGCCTTTGGAGAAACAATCAACAGTACCAGTTTTCCTTTGATTTATTTTGCTTTACCTTTTATTTTTGACAATTTCATACCCATGTATAATGAGCTGTGATCATATTCATATCTCCATTATCCTCTCTTAGCTCTCCCAATCTGGCAGACCTCATTCACAATTAGTCTTTTAGGAACCATTTTCTCTTGAGACTTGGAGTTGAGGAGGATCTTGAGTTTCAGATTCTTCTGCCTCTACTTCCCGAGTACTGACATTAAGGGTGTGTACCAGCACATTTGGTTTACGCAGTACTGGAACAGAACCCAGGGCCTCCTGAATCTAAGGCAGGCGTTCTACCAACTGATATCCTCCGTTTCCCTTAAGAATCTTATATCTGGGGCCAGTGAGATGACTCAAGTGGGTAAAGGCACCTGCCACCAAACCTGACAACCTGAGTTCAAGCCCAGGTCCCACATGGAGGAAGGAGAGAAACATGACTTCCGCAAGCTGTCCTGTGACTTCCACGTATACATGCATGCGCACACACTGATCAAAATGTAATTAATACTCTTACATCTCACTGTAAGACTCCCTTTGGTTAGCAATATGACAGGCTAGAGAAAAATGCAGATACCCCAAGTGTAGCCGTCCAAGAATAAATACTGTGAACATTTGGGCACACATGCTCTGCTGCAGTTTGGGCATTCTTCCAAGATTCATATGCTGAACTCACTCCCAAGGTGACAGACAGTTTTAGGAGATGGGGAGTCTGGGAAGGGATGAGGTTGTGTCTTCTGCCGTGAATATAGACAATATTCTGAGAAAGAGTGACGTGTGGAGTAGAAAAGTCCACAGATGTATAGAGTTTCATAGGCATGATTTATCATCAGCTGAGTGTAAAACACCCCCCCCACCACCACCACTATTTTTCTCCACAGCTATTCATACCTCTAGTATCCATCACCCTTTCTTAGTCCTTGAGGTCTCAGCACCAGGCTGAAGAAAGTTGCTCACTTTTCTGATTAGCTGGGAACCCTGCCCCTACCTCTCTTTTCATTTTAAGGCATGACCCTTTTGGGTTTGGGTCTAGGAGAAACTCAAGTCGTCATCTCAAAGATTGCATGAAACTCCAGCAGAAGGGGCAAGTGGTTGGCCCAAGCTGGTCCTCTGCTCCCTGATATGGTCATGCAGTTATTTAAGGCTGGGTCTTTGGTCTGTAGCTCTTAGTTCAGAAGCCAGTACTTGCAGGCAGCTGTTGGAATACATTGCTGGCTTGATTAGAGGTGTCAGTCTGCCATGGCCTGGCAGCTTATTTCAGTAACATGGAAACTCCCTCCCTCCCTTCAGCAATGCCTGCTACTCTCTACCTGCCTTATCTGGAGAATGTCCCTGGGCCTAGAGGACTGATCTTACCTAAAAGCTGTCTCTAGGCCAGGTGACTGATTCATCTTTAGCTTGACCCATGGCACAGATCTCTGCTAAGAAAACTTGTGTTAGGAGCTCTGCTATAGGACCTTACTGCCACATACTAAGCCTTGTGATGTGAGCTTGCCATTTAATGCAAATTAGGGTTTGTCCCCAGGCTTCTCAACACTATAGAGTCCTTATACTCTGGAATAACATTAAGCTGACTTACTGAAATCTGTGTCCTAGAGGGCTGTCTCTGTTTGTGCTCATGGGCCACAAAGAAAGCTTTCTGTTGCCCCATTTTCCTCTAGACCTGGTGAGCAATGGACTGAGAGGGAAAGTGGCAGCCAGGAATGTATGTTAAATGAATATCTACTAAAGTAACCTACAGACTCCTGGGGTCTGTGATACAGGACTGCAGAGGTTGGCCACCTAGGTCTAGAATGGTTACTGACATGATGATGTCGTGTAGCTGTTAGGGATGCATTAGAATAACAACCAAGACCCCAGAAGAGCCAGGGAAGGTTGAAGACAGAGCTTGGTGGAGTGAGATGGATGGATCTGAGGAAGGTCAACACCGGGCAACATGGAAATGTTCTGTTTTGTCATTCTCATTATAAAAAACAGCCTGTTGATAATTAGTAGCTTTCAAGATGGAAATGGGTTTTTTGAAAAGACAGAGGTGGCCCCTAATTGTACTTGTCCAGGTAGAAACAGGAGTAATTTGTCAAGAGTTAAAAAAAATATGTTTTCCTAATAGGATAGAGGGGTTTTTAGATTATGACGCAAACTCAAATTCAATTCATTGAATATGTACCTAAGTACATTTTCCTTGTCAATCAATTCTACCATGGAGTCTTTTGGGTTTAAATTCATTATCTTTCTCATTACAAATGAGACCAAATGCTAATATCTTTCTTGACCCAAGATTCTATTCGTCTAAATGGCAGTCTGAGAGCTACTGCTGTGTGCCACACACAGTAAGGGCTCAATAGATATATGTAAATTAGCTCTTAAAACTGAAAAGCTTACATTTAAGATAATTTAAGCTACAGGCTCCGTGCATTTGAGCAACCTGATTGAGCTCGGCTGGTCTTGACTAACTGCATCAGTGGCTCCTGCTCAGAACACTAAAATATTCATTAATTTTTTTTTAAATAGAGAAGTTTAAAATTAAAGAGGGAATTTGAACGATTTTTGGCATGGGGAGATAAAAGTGTGCTCTTACTGGGTTTCTGCATGTTATGAATCATGGCTGAGATGATTTCCCAGAACAGAACCTGGTGACATTAAATTGCAAATAGGATTTTCCTGCACCCTGAGTATAGAGTTACTGGAAGACCACCCTTAATATAATCATTCCATCTGAATTCTGGTGGTGAGAAGGCTACATAAGTGAGGCGTATTGCAAGAGCGCCTGCAGTTTTCAAGATTGGAATCACCAACGGCAACAGAGGCATTAACAGGATCATGCTTGAGTCTGAAAAAGCTCCATTTTCAAACAGCAGCCTAAGAAATCTTGATGAATGCCCAGCATCTGCGAGTCACCCTGCTAGTCCCGCCAGGATGGAAACGGGTAAAGAGCCCGCAAGAACTGCTTTTCATCCATTTCTTCTTTTCTTTGGCCTTTCTTCTCTCTCCCCTCCCTTACCACCAGAAAACTAAATAATTAGAAATTAGTGTTCAGATAAAGCATTTCTTTCTACTTGTTAACAATATTTTTGACACAGTACTAAGAATTAACGATGCTGGTTAAGATGGTTTATCCACTGGATAAATCCAGGGAACCCAGGCTAGCCTCGGAGTGCTTTCTGATCCAGGCTTCAGACTTGCATAGCCAACTGCTCAGAGGACCGTAGACAGCAGACATTTCCCTGCATCCTGGTGGGGAATCAAAGACTCTCTGACCACACTCTCATCTCAACAACTATCCTCGTGTTTTTCTCATGCCTACAGTTCCATCTCACGTGCACGTCTCTGTGGCTTGAGTTTTGTTTTTTTGTTTGTTTGTTTTTGTTTTTATTTTTGAATGCCACCCTCAGAAGCTTGAAATGGAGAGCTCCCGTTTTAAGAGTTACCTCTACTGCTGCTTTTGCTCTTTCAAACTCCTCTTCTAGGGAATGGTTCCTGGAGAGCAGAGCGCTCCCCCAGCGGTGCTCTTTGGTGAGGCGAGCCTGAAAGAAACCAGACAGGTGTATTATTGGCATCATGTGGAGCAAAAACCAGAAGGAGCTTTCTTCTTCTCACCCTGCTTCCTTAGAGTCCCGAAGGATTTCCTGAGTACATGAGCACTCAGGTGAGTAAGTGTGTGTGTGTGTCTGTGTGTGTGTGTTTTTGTGTGTAGGCGCAGCGGACCTAGGTCAACCTGTGGTATCATTCGCTAGGCATCAATCATTTTATTGTTTGAGATAGGCCCTCTTACTGGGATCTGGGGCTTTCTTAGCCCACTCTCTCTGGCCAGTGATCAACAAGAGCCCTCCTCTCTCCTCGTTCCCAGGGCTGGGATTACAAGTGTGTACTAGCGGGACTGACGTGAGTTCTGGGGACTGAACTCAGCAAGCAGCTTACTGACTGATTCATCTCCCTAGTGCCTTGAAAAGTGTTTTCAAAGTCATCCAGTCCTGGATGATGTCAAGTGTGTGTGTGTGTGTGTGTGTGTGTGTGTGTGTGTATCCTTGTGCAGTAGTCTCAGACCTGGTGTGAACTCTGAGCCACTGAAATAGAGAACAGCTATCCAATCTCTGACCAGGAGGCTGAGAAGAAACCCAGTACTTTCTATGAAAGGCAAGCTGGAATTGATTGATTTCTTTCTACTGTACTAGGGAATTTTCTAGCAAGTGTGCATTAGTGTTCTAGGGCAGCCAAAATGTGTTTTCACAAACTGAGTGGTTTAACACAAAAGAAATCCAGACACTCAATGTTCTCTAGGCAACTAGTTCATAGCCACAGTGGTGGCAGGCCCGTGCTTCCTGTACCCTCTGGGTGGCCTGCTCCATGCCCCTTCCTGTAAACAGGCTTCAGGTGGGTCATGGTCATGTTGCCTTTTTTTCTCTCAGTCCTTCCTTTTTTCTGCATTAGTCTTACAAGGTGCCTGGGATTGTAATCAGGGCTTTTCCAAACATCACAGGAAACTTCCCTTCTCTCCAGGCCGCCCACTCAGCCCTGTCTTCCATGTGCATGGTGATATTCACAGGTTCTAGGGCTGTAATCACTTATCTTTTTTGAATACTCCATTCACTACTACTCTAATAGGACACTCTTAGGGCACACTATATTTTATTAACAAGGATATAAAAATACAAGTGCTGGAGAGATGTCTCAGAAGATAATAGAGCATACTGCTCTTACAGAAAACTTGAATTTGATTCCCAGAATCCCTCATCTGGCAGCTCAGAAGAGCCTGTGGCTCCCATTCCGGGGAGATTTGACCCCTCTGGCATCTGTAGGCACCTGTACTCATGTGCATATACAGGCATGTGGACAAGCACACGTACACATAGAAAAACAAATGGATAAGCCAGGCAGCGGTGGTGCACACCTTTAGTCCTAGTGCTTAGGAGGCAGAGACAGGTGGATCTCCAGTTTGAGGCTAGCTTGGTCTACAGAGCTAGTTCCAGGACAGCCAGGACCACACAGAGAAACCTTGTCTCAAAAAAACAAAGAACAAAAACAAAGAAAAAAAGAATACAATTAAAAATATAAAAATACAGGTGATTTACAATTTTTTAAGGTACCAGGTAGTTAGGATCTTGTTGACTACAAGAGAAGCTAACTGTGAAGGCCAGCTGGGCACTCAGAGACAGTTAAGAGTCCCGTGTGTGACTTGGTGAATTGTTTGACACTTATGTCCTCAGCAGTTTGAGGAGCTCTGCTCAGGACTGCCTTGATTCTGGTGCTAATTCCTTCATCTTTCTGCTGGTCCCTTCACTGACAAGTTAAAGCAATTCTTCAAAACTTAGATGCATGACAAGAAATTAATGATTGATTTCATTTCACAAAGTTATTTATATACTAACAAAAAAGTTGAGGGCTCTGGGGTTGGAAAAAATTATGAATGTTAAATGTCCAAACCACACAAAGAAGTCTATAGATTCAAGGTGACTCCTTAAAATCCATTGGTATCTACATGTAAATATTAAAAAAATAAACACTAAATTGTACTGCATGAGAAAAGACCGTCTCCTACTTTTCTTTCGGTTGCTGTGATAAGCATTGTCCGAAACCAATTTAAGGAGGAAAGGGTTTATTACATCTTTCAGGCTTCAGTTCATTATCAAGGGAAGCTGGGGCAGGAACTCAAATCAGGGACCTGGAGGCAGGAGCTGAAGCAGAGGCTGTGGAGGATCACTCCTTTCTGGTTTGCTTAGCCTGCTTTCTTATATAACCCACGACCGCCGCCAAGGGCCAGCACCACCAATGGTAGGCTGGATCCTCCCACATCAATCACAAGCCTGCTTGAGGGAGGCAATTCCTTAGCTGAGGTTACCCCTTCTCAGATGACCAGTTTTGGAAATATAAGGAACACCAACGAGTGACTAGCAAGGAAACATAACCCTGTTAAAAATGGCCAAAGACCATTAGGAGGTAGTTCCTGGAAGAAGAAACACAAATTACCAACAGGCTTATAAAAAGTAGTCTCCCCGACTAAGCAGTGAGGAAATGACAATGAAAACCACAGCTGGCATCACCTCACTTGAGGCTGTTGCCAAAAGGGTCAAAAGAATGTTGGATAAGACGGAGGGAAAAGTAGGCTCATATACACTGTTGGTGGGAAGGTAGATTCATATTATTGTGGAGACAGTATGGACTGCCCTTAGAAAATCAAAACTAATCCTACCATGCTAAGGAGGTGAGACCATTATGTAAGAGGCCTCCACACTCATTACATGTCAATGTGGCATGAGGCACAGGAGAGAAGAAATGGAAAATGCTGCCTACCAGATGGTGACCTAACATGCATGCACTGCGGAACACTGAAGTCTTCAAGAAGGAAGTGACATTTGTGACTTGTTGGAAATGAAGAGTATCATAGGAAGTGAAATAAACTCAGCACGGAATGTCAGGTATTATATTCAAACTAAAATGTGTTGTCTAAACCAGCTGACCTCTCAGAGGGACAGAGCACGGTGGTGGCCAGGACTGGGGCTGGAGGAAAGGTGGCACTCTGCTGGTCAAAGGGTATAAAATCTAGGGTAGAATTTGGTGACTACAGCTAACAATGTGTTGTGTCCTTGAGAAGCATCGAGGTAATTTTAGGTATTCCTTCAAAAGAACCCAAATTGGATTAACCCAGCTTGCCATGCACACATATTTCAAAACATTATATGTGATAAACATATACTTTTATTGGTCAAATAAGACATAATAATAGATAAATTTGGTGCATCTTAAGTGTCAAGAATGACCTATGAGTGGCATTAGTAAAACAAAAGAAGCACTGAGATTGTTGTCTGAGGCAGTGTTTAATCACCAGGCACTTTGCACAGCTGAAATGGCCCTGTTTTGCTGGGAAGCTTGACCTAACAGGATTCTATCAGCGTCCCTGGCCTCTCTCTATTAATGTTTCAGCTGCGTTATGAATCACAGGCTACAGTTATGAATCACAGGCTACAAAGGGCACCGAATATCAGGAGCTCAGGATTCCAGGCCAGCTCTCCTTTCCCACAGCAAACACAGATAGAGAGCCTCGCTGTGCAAATGACATTTTATTCTGATGGGACAATTACTATTTAGGGATACTTTCATTTCTCACGTCATTGGAAAGGCTTTAGGTTATTACTAAGATAAGTGTTATCTAACTTACCATTTTTAAAGTTTTTGGCCCAAGGAGGCATAAGCTAAATGTTATAGAATATAAATAGCAGTTTATATGCAACTGAAAAGTTTGATACTTTTCCAAGTGGTAGTGCTATACTGAAACATGCTGGTTAAGACTAAGCTTAGGGGCCCGAGAGGTGGCTCAAGGGTTAAGAGCTTTTGTTGTTCTGTCAGAGGACCTGTGTTCAATTCTCAGCACCCACCTGATGGCTCATAGTGACCTATCAGTCTAATTCCAGGGGATCTGATGCCCTCTTCTTACTTTCTTGGGCACCAGGCACACATGTGACACATGCAGGCAAAACACCCACATACATAAAAAGTAGAAGGAACTGAGCATAGAATACAGATGTTAACTAACACACATGGCTAAAATAGACTTCCTTGAAGCCAAGACATTAAACAAATATCTAATTTTATCAGAGGAGAAACCTGTGACTTGGGAAACTATATCAGTGCTTGCAAGGATTGTTGATATGGTTTGGCACTTTGATAGAGGTATGATAAACAAAACAATTACAGCCATCAGTTTGAGTGGCAGCCATCTTGACGTCATAGCTTGCATAGCTGTCATTCTCAAACATGAGTGAGCCCTGAAATACCCAGAAGGTCTTTTAAAATTCAGGTGGCTGAGCCCCAATCCCAGAGTTTCTGATTCAGTAAGTTAGGTGGGGAGCCTCAAATATGCATCTCCACAAATCCTCAGGTGCTGCCGGGAGTGCCAGCTTAGCACCACAAAGGGAATCCCGGACCCACATGTGTGTTATGTGGGTAAATCTCAAGCTCGTATGCATGTGCTAAGTATGTATGACATTTATTGTCAACTTGACACAACTTGGAGTCACCTGGAGTCTTAGTTACTCTTCTCTTTCTGTGTTAACACACCATGACCAAAAATAACTTAGGGAGGAAAGGGTCTGTTTCACACTATGACTCTGAGGTCACACCCCCGTTGTTGATGGAAGTCATGTCAGGGACTCAAGGCAGGTAGCTGAGGTAGAAGCCAAGGAGGAACCCTGCTTATTGGCATGCTCCCCATTACTTGCTCAGCCTGCTTTGTCACACGAGTTAAAACCACCTGCGCCGCGCGAGGGTGGCACAGCCTACTGTGGGCTGGCTGCTCCCATGACAACCATCAATTAAGAAAGTACCCTACAGATTTGCCTTTAGGTGATGTGATGGAAGCATTTTCTCAATTGATCTTTCCTTTCTCAGGCAATTCTAGCTTGTGCCAAGTTGATAAAAAGCAAGCAAATACAACCAGGACACTTGGGAAGGAGAGTCTTACTGAGGATTTACCTATATCAGTTTGGCTTGTAGGACTCTAGGGAATTATTCTGATTGTGTTAAATGATGTAGAAGGACCCAGTCCATTTGGGCAGCATCATTGCTAGTTCGGGGTCCCAGAACCACACGAGAGGAGAAAGCCAGCTGCCGTGAGTATGTGGATAAGGAAGGAGGCATTTATTCTGTTCTTTCTGATCTTGACTGTGGACACGATGTGACCAGCTGCACCAGGTTCCTGTTTTGACTTCCCTGGATGACGAACCACAGATGGGAGTTGTAAACCAAACAAATCTCTTTCTACACAAAGTTGCTTGTTGTGGGGTATTTTATCACAGCAGCAGAAATAAGATTAGAAAGCTGTTAAAATAAGGAAGGAAAACGAATGCATTCACTTGAGAAAATAATGCAGTGACTGTTTGACCTTGGGTACAGTGTGATGTGATTGTTAAGAGCAGACTCGGAAGTTAAACAGCCCAAAGCCAACTCTAGTGTACTGCCAGCCAGACATTTAGACCAAATACTGGATTCCTAAATTCTCATCTTGAGAGTCTACATTTACAGAGTCCCTGTAAGAATTAAGTAGTACTAGTCACATAAACACAAATGCATACCAAATGCTCTGCTGAACCTGGCTTCTGTTACCATTTGGTGAGCACCTTCATGAACAGCTTTGTGTTTAGAGCACTTTTGTTTGATAGCCGATGCAGACGGCTTGGAGTCTCAGACCACCTAAACACTAGCCTCACTGAAATAATCAAGGGTTTTTGATTCTTAGTCAATAGACATTTGACACGCAGGGTGCACGCACAAGGGGTATGAACCTTTCTGGTCACCGTATCCATTCTGCTAGGAAATTCTATACTGAGCATTAAGGCAAGAAAGTGCTGGTTTTGAGAAGACATCGCCAGCATATCCTCAGACACACTGAGAAACAACCGCCGAAAACACTTACAAATGATACAGAGAAAAGTATGCCTGTTTCTGTTTTAATTGTCCACAAGGGTCTACTTCTGTTGTTAAAGCTGGTGCTGTTTCTTGTTAGGGTCTCTCATTTAGTTGCCGACAAATACTTGTTGAGAATTGCCTACTGTGCTGGTTTCTATGTTGAAAACGATGCTTCAGATTTCTTTCCTTTCTGTCCCTTCTCTTCTTTGTTCTTCTCTCCCACCTTCGCTCCCTCCCTTCCCCACTGGCGGCTCATTGTCGTGTGGCATCGAGAGGAAAACCATTGGATACAATTCCGGAACTGTCCACCAAGAGACGGTGAGTATTTAAAGAGCACTGGGCTGGATTATTTTCCAGAGACATAGAGGTCAGATGCTTCTTTGAGTACATGCCTAACCTATTTTTGTTAGTGTGTATTCATTGTACAAAACAGCTTTTCTAAAAGTAAGGTGGTGAATTTAGGAGGAGAATTAATTATATACAGAACAAATTGTATGAAAATTCTATTATCTCATGAAGGTTCTATAAGAAAACAACGGACATTCTTGAAGATTGTTCACCTAATGTTAACCCAAAAGAATTAAATAACTATGGAGCTTTTCGAAAATAAGACTAACACTGACTCACAGGTTCTGTCTTGCGAGCAGCATGTGGTGGCTGACACTAGGGGTCTCCTTGGGTGAAGAACAAGAGCTTCACAGATTTTAACGGGTATAACCCGAATCCAGACTTTTCTCCTCCTTAGATGTGCAATTTGGGGGAAGCAGCTTTTACCTTTTAATGCGAAGTGGGGATAATGTGAAAACCTAAGTTTGCAGTGGGCATTTCCCACAGTGCACGAGAAACCGTGAAGGGCGGTGATGACCCATAGGGAAGCTCTGCTCAGCCCGAGTTGGTCTTCTGGGAGTCACAGCTGCAGCCCATTCTGGTCAATCTGAGGTCTGAACCAGTGTGCAAATGGGGAAGGAGATGTCTGGACCACGTCTGCAGAAGAAGCTGCACCCCCTTTTTATTTTCCACTCTCTCCTTTTGCCTCACCCAGTGATACCTTACCCAAGATAAGAAAAGTGAAATTTTCAGCCTTTTGTATTTTATTCAGCTCTTCAAATATTTTCTTAAAAATAATTTTTCAGATTGTATGATCTCTTTAAACAGTTAAGTTTATGCAATGACAACTATATAGTTCGTGTTAAGCATCAAGAATCTATGTCTGTAAGTACACAGAGATTATGTAACTCATTGTAATCACTTGCTTCTCTGAGTTTTCTATTCCAGGCACCATTTGAGACTATACCGTACTTTGTTCCCCATCTTGAAAAGAAAATGAGAAACCGTAAGTTTTCATATTATGTGTTTCCATTTTCTTTGTGATTCTGAAATATGATTTTTAAATGAAGTTTGTAAATAGCTTCCCACCTGTTGAGTCACTGCCTGGGATAATTTATCTTGGCTTCAGGGAGAGGAAACCATTTTCCTGGTTTTCCTGTGAACCATCTGGGTGAGCATGGAGCAGGCTGGGGTGAGCCAAATGGTTTGTCTGAATGAATTATGTGTTAGTCTTTATATGAAATGTCGTTCTATCTTCATTACAATTCTACTGTATCTACACAAAGAAGCCTGAAGCCTGCACTGGTAGTACAAACATCGTGTGTGTGTGTGTGTGTGTGTGTGTCTGTGTGTGTGTGTGTGATTGTGGAGGCTACAAGTAGTCCACCCCAAGTATCACCCTTCAGGTTCCACCCACTTGTTCTTTGAGGCACATTCTCTCATCCACCTGCTGCTTGTCAGCTAGGCTAGGCCAACAGTGAGCTTTAGGGATCCTCCCATTTCAATCTCTCCTGTGCTGGATTGTAAGTATGTACTATCACACCAGATTTATTTTTTTCCCCATAAGGGACTCAGGTCTCATTCTTATAAAAAAATTGCCTTGATGAGCCATCTCCCAGCAAGCTCTCCTTGTTTTCATTACACAGCTGTCTATTCTCTCCTTGCTTTGTTTCAATGACCCTGTGTTTCAGGTATATAGCAGTAAGCCTGTATTTCATGAGCATTTCCTAATTTGCTATGAATGGAATGAAAACTAGAAGAGTATGATTTTTTTAAGGTAAGTCTTGATAAGTAAACATATAGTGTCTAAAAATGTAACAGATGAGTAACTCCCCTACAGATGATTCAGTATCTCGGAGGACTCTTTGAGACTCACCTGGGCAGAGAACTCTCAGAGCACATTGGAAGGTGTATTTTGTAAGACACCATGAGGAAGCTGAAAACTATTTTCCAAAGTGCACTGTGTTTGCTTAAGGTAAGAAGGACAGTGTGGTGGGATGGAATTAAAGTACCGGCAGGAGACTAGTAGTCATTGGGATAATAAGATGAATGCATTGTGGGTTTCTATGGCAACTGGGGTCCCAGCTGTTCCTCTGCCCAGCTTGTTGTAGAATGGCCCACCTGTGCCAAGTCTCTCCCTGCTTTAAAATAAACGCTTTGTCACTCCATTTCACTGTTCCTCAGACAGCAGCAGATGAGGCAGGAAGCAACACCAGTTACTCAAGCTGAGTGGAGCTCGCTTCTGCACTTATGAATACTGCTTCTCTAATGGATGCTGTCATTTTTCTCTTAAGAAGATACACTTAAAATGAGCACCAAAAATTCATTTTTCATGCTACATTTGCAATTCATTAAAGTCTGTGGAGGTGATGTGTTCATGAAGGGAGTTGACCAGACAGATGTCTAGCTGTGGTCTGGGAACAGCCATGTCCTTTCTGCTTGTGGTGATGAATGTGTAGGGAGAATGCTAGTGACACAGGACGTTCCCAGAGTCCCATCACCATCAGATTTCTGGGTTCTTCTCTCTTACACTTTCTTCATTTCATGGTTTCCCTGTCTATACAATGGGGCAGAGCTTAGCTTGTTTTGCCTTTTGTCAGGACCAAATCAGCTAATTTATACTAGAAATTCCTGTAGTCCTCTTCTCCCCTTCTCTTTCTCCAAACTCCCTCTCCCCTCCCCTCATGCTCTCAATTTACTCAGGAGATCTTTCCCCTTTCCCCTTCTCCAGGGGACCATGTATGTGTCTCTTAAGGTCCTCCTTGTTTCCTACGTTCTCTGGCAGTGTGGATTGTAGGCTGGTAATCCTTTGCTCTATGTCTAAAATTCATATATGAGTGAGTATATACCATGTTTGTCTTTTTGAGACTGAGTTACTTCACTCAGGATGGTTTCTTCTAGTTCTATCCATGAGGGAGCAGGAAGATTGAGTCAGGGGAAGAATAGAGGAGAGCAAGAAAAGAGATACCATAATAGAGGGAGCCATTATAGGTTTAAAGAGAAATCTGGCACTAGGGAAATGTCCAGAGATCTACAATGATGACCCCAACTAATAATCTAAGCAATAGTGCAGAAGCTACCTTAAATGCTCTTCCCCAATAATGAGATTGAGGACTACCTTAACTGCCATCCTAGAGCCTTTATCCAGTAGCTGATGGAAGCAGAAGACACCCACAGCTAAACACAGAGCTGAACTTCTGGAATCCAGTTGCAGAGAGGGAGGAGTGATGAGCAAAGGGGTCAAGAGCAGGCTGGAGAAAACCACAGAAACAGCTGACCTGAACAAGGGGGAGATCATGGACCCCAAATTGATAGCTCGGAAACCAGCATAGGACTGATCCAGGCTCCTGAACGTGGGTGGCAGTTAGGAGGCTTGGGCAATCTACGAGTCCTCTGGTAGTGGATCATTATTCATCCCTAGTACACCGAATGGACTTTGGGAGCCCATTCCACATAGAGGGATACTCACTCAGCCTAGATACACAGGATAGGGCCTAGTCCCTGTTCCAAATGATGTGACAGGCTTTGAAGACCCCCCATGTAAGATGTCCCCCTCCCTGGGGAGCAGAAAAGGGATAGGCTAGGAGGTCAGTGGGGGGCAGGGGAGAGGGAACCGAGATTGACATGTAAAACAAGCTTGTTTTTAATGTAAATAAGAAGAAAGATTAAAAAGCCCAGAGGCAAAAACAAAACAAAACAAAAACCAAAAAAACAAAAACCTGAAAAAAAGAGAAATTCTTGTAGTCAACCATAATACCTACTGCTATCATAATTATCCATTTATTTTAAAAAATGTTTATTTTATTTTTATTTATGTGTAGATGTGCATGTGTGTGGGATTCCTGTGCCAGAGAGGAAGTTGAATCCCCTAGATCAGGTCTTTCAGATGTTGTGAGCTGCCCATCATAGGTCCTGGGAACTGAACATAGGTCCTCTGCAAGCACAGTGCGTGCTCTTACTGCTGGCTTAATGATCCAGCCCCAAACATCCCCTTATTTCACTTCAGATCTACATTCCTCCTGTGGGCTACAGCCTGTGATGTGAGAAAACCTAGAACATTTCTTCTGCTCATTCCCTTCCACATTTAGTCTCTCTGCAGTTGGATTGTAGAAGGCAGGGCTATGCTTACACTGTTCTTATGAGATCGTTGTGGTTGAAACTCAAGGTCATAAAACATGTCCAGGGGACCTGGAGACTGCCATTGCTTTTCTCATAACCATCAGAGAGGTAAGCAGCCATGATGAAGCCTGTTGGGGAGCCCAGGGCCTAGGACAGCGAGACAGGATTCACATCCTACTTCCTCCTGCTATTGTACCCTAGCAAGACATGGTTGACTTTACTGAGACTGGTGGGCTCCTGTGAGAAGTGTCTTTGTAAGACAGCTTACAATAATGCACAGGATTACTAAGTATGGACTATAACACATAGAAAGCACCCAGTAAGTCCATGGCTCTCCCTGCTGGGCACTCACAGTGGTAGCTCTCCTTATGGTTACCACTACTAATGGTGCTGGAATAATATAATCCTTGGCATAAAATTTATTTTAATGTGACAGAATGCTGGATATAGTCTCTTACTCTACAGGGCACAGATGTGAATGAACAAGCAGGGTGTAATTTCCTCTTTGTGTTCTGTTACATAAGTAGTGCTAATGCTGGACTAGAACAGATTTTTGTATTGCCAAATAATGGGACAGTCAATGGCAGCACAAGGAGAAAGTGCTAAGTACACAGTGAATTCATTAACACGTTTTCCAGCCAAATGCATGGAAGTGTATACAATCCGTTATGCTAAGCACCAAGACAGCTATGGAGTGAGAACACACTTTGCAATGCAAAGTTTGGAAAAACACTGCAAACTTTCTGTGAAAAGTTAAATAAAATATTTATGATGCCATCCCTGCTAGAGCAGACGGGTTTTCCTAAGATTTGCTTTCGTTACCTGTGCTGGAGCCACAAGTTCCAACTCGGAAGCCGACTCGGAGTTGAGGGCACTCTTCCCAGCGCTCAGCTCCGGCTGAGATCTATGTTCTGAGGACCTGCAATGAGACATCGAGGGACACTGGTGTTCGGCAAGAACACGCTCGGCCAAAAGCCCAGCAGGAACCAGGCTCTGGGCAGAATTCAGACAGAAGTGAACTTTTCTCCATAATTGTCACTTCCCTAATTTAAACAGCTGTGGACTCCCTGCTAGATAGAGCTTTTTTTTTTTTCTTTTAAACTTAGAATCCAGATGAACCATGGGCAAAGAAGAAATGAACACAACGGCACGTTTCATATAGGACATTCCATATCTATGAAAACAGTGTTCTTGTTAGAGACCATTCATAATGCAGATCTCTGTGCATCCAGACTGTCACAATGAGGGCAAAAGAGACAGAAACAGGAAACTGCCCTTTTCAGATCTTTAGAAACATGGCGTTCTGGTTAGTTTTCCTCAACTTGACACAAACTAGAGTCACCTGAGAAAAGAGACCCTCAGCTGGGGAATTGCCTCTATCAGATTAGCCTGTGAGCATGTCTGTGGGACATTTTCTTGATAATTACTGTGAGAGGACCCAGTCCACTGTGGGCGGTGCCACCCATAGGAAGGTGGTCCTGGGTCATAGAAAGCAAGTTGAGGCAAGGCTGAGAGCGAGCCAGTACTCAGTGCTCCCCTGTGGTCCCTGCTTCTGTTCCTGCCTTAACTCCCCTGTGATGGACAGCCACCTGAGAGCTGAACTAAACCCTTTCCTTCCCAAGCTGCTTATCACAGCAACAGGAAAGTCACTAGTCCACCTGGTAAAATTCAAGTGGCCACATTGTTTCCTGATGTCCACAATTCAAATGTAATTACTACACTGAATGGCAGTGGATGATGGAGAGAGCAGGAAAGCTGTGTAACCAGGAACAACTGACTACCATTGGTGCAATGATAACACACACACACACACACACACACACACACACACACACACACACACACACACACATACACTTCTGTTACCTGATAGACTTCTGTTAACTGATAGCTCAGCTACATGTTTAGAAAATTATTAAAACCGGGACCTTCTCAAATCCTTTCTGAATTTGCTTCAATTTTTAGTCCTTCCTTCCTTCCTTCCTTCCTTCCTTCCTTCCTTCCTTCCTTCCTTCCTTCCTTCCTTCCTTCCTTCCTTTCTTTCCCTCTCTCTCTCACTCTCTCTTCCTTTCCTTCCTTTTTTTCTTCTTCCTTCCTTTTTTTCCAATTTAGTTAAAGTGATTTGTAGAAGTGATAACATATAGAAGGTTACTGTTCAGGGTCTCAGATATCTGAATTAACTGAGCTCACTGGCTGTTTCCTGATACCAAGGGCACACCCGCACAGCCAGTGGAAGCTGCTGGTCTCTGGAATCAGAACAACTTACCACAGGAGCTCTTTGGATCCAGTTCTAGATGAGCATGACTTCCTTTCAGCCATGAGATGCCCCTTGCTGGTTCGGTCACCATGGAACTTGACATCATCCCATTTTTCCAGTTGTGTTTGAATGTCTACTAAGGAAGAAGAAAGTGGAAGAGAAAGCCCAGGGCCAAGCATGAGGATGTACACAGAAAAGATGTTGGCGAGGATTGAGATTCCAGGCAAACTACACACAATCCATGCTCTCAAGATCCGAGGCCAACATTCATCTTCTTAACGGTGCATGAAAATGAATCAAAACATAGTCAGAAAAGAAGGCTTATTAAAATAAACTCATCATGCTAGGTGTTGGTGGTACATGCCTTTAATCCCTAGGGAGGCAGAGGCAGGAGGATCTCTGTGAGTTCGAGACCAGCCTGGTCTACAAGAGCTAGTTCCAGGACAGCCTCCAAAGCCACATGGAAACTCTGTCTTGAAAAACCAAAATAAATTAATAAACAAACAAACAAATAAATAAATAGACTCATCACTTTTACAGTTGAAGCACTCATTATGAATTTATATGTATTTACCTGACACACAGATGCATGCACACACACAGACACAAACACACACATGCATTCTCTTGATTTGTCTGGTGGCATAAACTGAGAATTTAACTTTCCTTTTTAGGAATGTGGAGTGTGTAAGTAAAAGTTGAGCTTGGAAGTTGACTAGGGTCGGGTGAGCATTTCCAGTTCTTTCTCTTGCTAGCTGTAAGATCTTAGACAAGTTAAATTTTAAGCCCAGTTTTCACATATTTCAGAGTTGTAATAAATAAACCATGTAAATGATGAAGTTTAGTTCCTGACTACAGTAGGCCCACAGCGAAGGGTACTGATGGTATTAACAGCTATCGCCATTATTCTGGATATTGTCTTAGGGCTGTTTTGTCTGGATGTCCCCGAGTGCTGAGATGTGCTTATTGGCCATCCTTGCTTCTCTTTTGTTCCCTGAGAGTCCCTGGAGAGCAAGGCCACATTTTCCCGATAACTCAGACCCTGGGCCTAGAGAGATGCCTGGCCTTCATCATAAGCTCAGTCCATAGGCCAATGGATCAATATCACTTGTTTGAAGCTACATTCCCATGGTTACTCAGTTCAAGCACAAAAGAAGCCACACCTTTCCCAGTTCCCTGGAAGAACTTTGTCTTCCCCACTCCCGTGTTCACTCTTTGAAAGTAATTTTGAACTTGACTGTCTTGTCAGTACCAACAAGACAAGGTTAAACGGTAGCTTCTGCAAACTTTTGCCTTACCTAAGTCTAAGGATGATGTCTCCGGGCCCCGGAGAGCCTGGGCCCTCTGCTCAGCATCTGCACTGATGAGGTCAGAGCCATCAACTTTCTTCTTGAGGGATGAGCTCTTTGATGAGGACTCTGATTTCTTGGCTTTGGTTTGGGTTTGAGAGACAGGTTCACTCAGGTCAAGGAGATCCAAGCCAGTGGTCAACACTATGGGAGACAGAAGAGAGTCAGAGAAGCCCATTTACTTCCTGCAGTTATTATTTATTATCAATTCATTTTTGTATTTATGTGTGTTTGTGTGTGTATGTATGTATGTACGTATGTATGTACATATGTATGTATCTGTGTATGTGTGTATGTATGTATGCATGCTCAACAATGGGGGAGTTCAGAGGACAACCTTAAGTGTTGTGCTTAGGTGCTATCCACTTTGTTTTTTTGAGACAAAGTCTCTCATGGGCCTGCAACTAAACAAATAGGCTGGTCTGGCTGGCATTTGAGCCCCAAAGATCTACCAATGTCTGCCTTCCCAGGGCTGGAATCCCACCTATTCCTCTTCTTTCTCTTTCTTTGAGCACGGTTTCTGAGAATGGAACCCAGAGCCTTGTCCTTACTAGTCAACCATTTTACCAACTGGGGTAGCTCTTCAGCCCTCAGTAGTCTTTTTTTCCACATAGGTGTGTCAGTTGGGTGCATAGAGCCCCTATGGTGATAGGATGGATTAGAGGCAGCAAGCCAAGCTGGCTCATCACTGACGGCTGGCAGGCTGTGAGGTTGGGAAGTTGGCTACATTACGCTAGGCTAACCCAGGGAAAAATTACCTAGACCCACATCTGCAGTGAGAATGTTTAGGAAAAAAATAAAACAAATCTCAGTCCAGGTGCAGTTGCTCTATGGTTCTGATTAATTTCTAGGGAAGGTTTGTTTTAGATTAAGGTTTTTCCAGAAAAGGGTCAATGCTCATACATTTCATGAAGTCTAATGTACTTTTTTACTGAATTGGGCAGTTAGTTCATAAAAATCACATGCTGTCTGGGTCTCACCGGAGAGGGGTTTTATAATGCAGTTGATGGATAGGGACATGTGCTATCTTCTTGACATTTAGTATGCCTGTCTTAATCCCATCATAACCAGCTACAAAATGATAACACTCTGACTACCTAGTAGGTTGACTTCATTGCATTAAGTACTCCAATGAAGGCAGAAATAACAGTATGTTCCTATGCAAACCCAGGCAAACCAGAATGAATATGGCCAGCTTTGAACCTGTTCTTTTTTCCAGTATAGGCAGCTCATATTTAACTAGCCTTACCTGAGAAACAGAACACTGAGAGAGGACAAAGTCTCTCTCTCCAGCTCTTCCTCACTGTGAGTTAGAGAGGTTGAGCACACAATAGGCCGGGTGGCTTCCTCGGATTCTCCCCTCCACTTAGAGAAGGCAAGAGTGAGTAGAAGAGCCCCTGTGCTGACCTTCCCTGCAGTCTAGAGCAACCACCATAGCAATGCCCCAAGCACAAGTCCCAACACATTTCAGCTCGTCCTCTGGGTGGAGATCGGGTATGACTGACAGCCCAGCTCCAGTCCATCTGCTTTCCACTTGGTTGCCCCCTTGGCAGAGCCAGGGCTCCACTGAACTCACAAGGGGGGGTTTCCTTAGTCATGCAAGTCTGCCTAGACATGTACATGAGCTAGCCCTCCCCAGGGATTCTCTGGTGTATGATCATTGAGTCCCTTAACCACCACGCATCTGATGTGCCTTGATGGAAGCTTCTGGAGCAGCCTGAGCTCTAGTTTCTGCATCTGAAAATGGAAGATCAGTAGTCTTACAAGTGTGGGATGAGGAGTAAGTGGTCCAATGGATAAAAGTGACAGACTTATGCTAAATTCTCATTTAGTAAATGCTATTTCAGGAAGAGGAGGGGGCAGCACAGTATTGGAGAGTTTGCCTGGCATTCATCAGCCCCTGGGCTTATCACCAGCACTGTACACACACACACACACACACACACACACACACACACACACACACTTTCTATTTTTGAAGGGCCAAATTGCAACAATTCCCTCTTTTTTTATTTAGTGTTCCTGTTTCCTCACTCATTCTATTCTGTTTCAAGATACAATCAAATCTACACACAGAAAGAAGAAATGTTCCTGAGGATAAAACAAGAGACAAAGGTTTTTGTCTCCACAGAGGAGTCTATGAAGTGAATTTATCATGAATGGCCTGAAGGTGTCAGCTTGTTGTTGCTGAGTTTTCTTGAGAAGAACAAGAAGCTGCTTGGAGAGAGGAGTGCTTGGTGAGTCAGAAGCAAAGTGGGTGGAAAGAGGCTTCCAGAACAAAGTCAACTGGCTTTCCGAGCCAAATTAAAGCCTGGCAGGCAGCTAAGACAGGGTTCCACACACTTCCTATGCACTGAGTGCTTAAATGAAATTTCTAGACACTATCGGAATGGCAAGGACCCTAGGCCAATGAAACTTCCTTATGATGGAAGGAATACTCTATACACCGTTTCCAATTATACAAACATTTAAGCATTAGCTTCTTGCTTCTAGACTTTTAGAAGCAAATTTTCTAAGATTTGTGAACTTGTGAATTGAAAGTACATTTGCTGGTGGGGTTTAATTTAATCCTGTCTGCGTCTGAATGAGTGGACTGAAAATTTCGCACTGTTCACTCCGAAGCATTCTGGGCCCTTTCTGTCTTTGTTCTCTATGCCATCATTATTTTTTCTGTAAATGTGAAGCTGGAGCATGGTATGCACAAAGGCCCTACTGACTGCCTGCCCATTTAGTGGAAGCAGTGTCTTAGTGTCAAACAGCTCTGAAGCTTGGAGTCCCTGAGGATTACAGCTTTAAAAGCAGACAAGGTTGGGGCAGCTTTGACGTCTGAAGGAGACAGCATGGTGTTATGTGTAGGCGCCATAGTCGAGGCTTAAAGTCCAGGGCTTACAGCTCCTCCAGTGCTTCAAGGTGGCCGAGCCTGGGCACCAAGGCTAGGTGCTCTGTTCACTTCTTGATTAAATTGAAAACATTCTCCTAGATGCATGAAGACTCGAGTCCCTGTGCTTTTGTGCGCCCAGTAAGAGTACAAGGATCATTGGCTTTCAATAGTGTGTGTCAGAGTGTGCATGTGTGTACCAAGAAAATTCCTTCTGAGTATTTCAGCTTTAAATTTGCAGCCTTTTCTACCCAGATCCCTGTCAGTCACCATGCAACCAGCCACAGGTGGTGGATCCCATTGTCTCAGTGTCCTTATAGGGACAATACAATCCAGGAGGGTCGGAGTCTGGGAAGGGGACATGAAGATGAATCTGAGATACAAGCTGCTTTGATGACAGAAGGAGGAAGTGTAAGCCAGCAAATTTCACGTGCCCTCTAACGTGGGAGCAAGCAGGCCGACAAGCTTCTGTGACCTGTAGAGGAGTCAGTGGCACCCTGGTCAGAGATCTGTGACTTTCACAGATTTAAAATACAGACTCATGGGGTTTCAGGATACAGTACATGCGCTATGTTATGTAGCAATAGGAATGTAGTGCAGCTGATGTGCTGGTGTCCCTGCTGAGACTCAAATAGAGGCACGCCATTTAAGCCTATCTAGACTTCATCTGAGCATAGAGGCAGTATGTAGACTATTAAAGTGGTGTCTCTCTGTGCCTCTTAAAACCCAGCGGTTTGCAAAGTTTGAGGCATGATGGTAGTCTCAGAAACTGTTTTGAATAATCAAATTCCACTGGATAACATTTCCTGACAATGGAAGACAATACAAGTGAAAGTAGCAGTTTCTAACCATCTCAAGGACATCTGAGATTGACAACCTAGGAACCCAGAGGGCCCTTCCAGGCCACTGCAAACCTATAGAAAGACTAGCCTTCTTGAGCTCTGGGAAGTCGGGTTTCTCTAAGCAGAGCAGATTAGTAAGAAGTGTTGTTTGAGGTCAGTGCGGTGGTACCTGCCTTTAATCCTAGCACTAACGAGACAAGGACAGGCAGATCTAGGAGTACTAGCCAGCCAGGGACAAATAGTGAGACCTTGTCTAAAGAAACAGAGAAGTCTTATTTTGACAAGTTGGTGGAAGACACACTGTTTTTAACACAGTGTGTAAGGAAACATGATTTAGAAAGGCAACCATAGACACTCTCAAATATATGTACCAAATAGATAAACTGTATTTAATGAATTAAGTCAACTTTTTTATTGTAATATGTCATTAGATTTACTCAGATGTTTCTTTTTCCATTTGTGTGTATGTACTCATGTGTGTTGTGTATGTGAAGCGTTAATCTAATTAATCCTAATCAATAAAAAACCAGGAGTCAAATATTGGGATAAGAACCTGGGATATCAGAGAACAGGGAGCAGCTGCCAGCTACTTCCTACCTCTCTTATTTCTCCATCCAAAAGGGCCCAGATCACTTCCTGTCTCTCTATACAGTCCTCCAGATCTCTATGGTTAACTAGTGATGGCTCTGCCCATTGACTCCAAGCAAGCTTTATTTGTCAGAACACAAACATAATATCACACAACATGTATGCATGGTCTGCATATGTGTGTGTCTATGTATGTGTATGTTGTGTATGCACACTCTGCATATATGTGTCCATGTATGTATACTGCTTGTGTCTCTGTGTGTTGTGTATGCATGTCCTGCCTGTATGTGTCTGTATGCTTTGTGTATGCATGCTCTGCATGTGTAGATGCATTTGGGCATCCTAGGTTAATACCAGGAATCACTTTCAATTGCTCTTCTGCCTTATTCATTGAGGAAGGGCCTCTGAAGCCCAGAGATTGCCAACACAGTGAGTCTTCCTAGGCTACCTGGGCCTGGAGGCTCTGTCTCCACAGCAGAGGATGTGGACTCCGGCCTTCACTCTGGGCAAACACTTTAACAATTGAATCATATCTCCAGGCCTTTCTTCTCAGATTTCTAAGCTTTTCTGAGTCATGTCAGAAGCTTCATAGCCACTTGGATTTCATAAAAACATTTCCCGTAAATCTGATGCTAATATTTTAGTTAAGATATTTTGTTATGAAGGGCTCCACCCCTTGTTCCTAGGTAGAAGCCCCCACACTTCAGAAGGTGACCTCTTTGGAAATGTGACTAAAGATGAAGTTGTCCTGGAGGTGGTCAGGACACAATCCCAGGATGACACATATTCTCATGTAAAAGGGGAATTTGGACACAGGTATTTGTGCAGACAGAGAAATCAATGATATCTGCACACAAACAAAATCCCACATGGAGGTTGGAGTCCTGTGTCCCACCCAAGGGATCAATAGTTATGATTAGAGACATAGGAACAATGTCTTCCCAAGAGCATGCAGGAGTGTGTCCGGCCAGCATCTTGATGGGAGGTTTAGAGATTCATGACTCTGCTCTCTCAGCTTGTGGCAGGCCAGCAAACCCCAGAGGCCTCCAGTACCAGCCTTCCCAGTGCTGGGATTATATGCACATGTTTCCATGCCTATTTGCTTTTGTTTTTTAACATGCGTTCTGGGGGTTGAACTCAGGTTATTATGTATGTTTAGGCAGCCAGTGTTTACTGACTGTGCCACTTCCCAGCCCCCAGGTTTGGCTGCTTCTAAGTGGCTTCCTTTCTTCATCAGTGGGAATTGAAAAGTGACAAAGAGCTTCCTCAGTGCATCTGATTTTCTTGTGGGATGACCTGCAGTTAAGAGTCACCGGCTCTCTGTTTTCTGGGGTAGCTCTCCGGTTTCGGAGGGCCGAGGCCTGACTTCAGAGGTTGGGATTAAGAGGTTAGAATCTGGTAGTCTGAATTCATTTTAATGCCCCTTTAGAATGCAGCAAGTACCAGTCTGTGTTCCTGAGCGCTCCAAGTGACAGTTGGATTTAGAAAACAGTAACTTGGGTGTGACATCAAGTAACAAGGCTAGATGGACCCTACCCTGAATGAAATGATAGACTCTAGATATCCCCTATGCGGAAGGAATTGGCAATAAGGTGGGAGGATGGGTGAATGGTGGGGGGTGCAGGAGGAGGGGAGGGAGAGGGAACTGGGATTGACATGTAAAACAAGCTATTTAAAATTAAAACAAAAAGTAACAAGGCTAGAGCTTCCCACTGTCAGCACATTCATAGATGGCTTCCTTCATCTTCTGCAGTAATTGACAAGTTAAGGATCATCATATTATTAGGTGTGGAAAGTGAGGTTCAGCTTTGCTACCAGAATTTATGGTGACTGGACGGTGCCTACTAATATGTAAAGAAGAGCCTGATCTCACTTCCTTCTTCAGTTAGTCCCACTGAGGGAAAATAGATGCTGGCCCATGGTACAGAGCTGTGAGGAGAATGCAGGAGGTTTTTTATCTCCCAACCGTCAGATTATCTACTCTTCCACCTGGGCTGCCACCATCTGGCATTAGTTCCTCCTTTAGTTATTTGGAAAAAACCTCACTTTTTTTCCTACCTGATTTTCTTCACGTAGGATTCCGAGTGGTGAAAAAGTAAGTTACTTGCGAGTGGAGGCCACTGTGGACAAGTGGGACTAACTGAAGAAGGAAGTGAGATCAGGCTCTTCTTTGCATATTAGTAGGCACCGTCCAGTCACCATAATCTCTGGTTTCCCATCCTAAAGCACCACGCTTTCCTCATTCTTTGAAGAGAACACATTTGAATGGGAGTGTTGGATGAATGGGGTAGAGGTATACCTAAGGGCAGTAAAGTCAACTGGGTAATGGACGATGTAGTTTCTTGTGTAATCAACAGTCATCTATTGATGTATGCTGAATTGTATACAGCCCAGTCACTTGGTTGCAAACATCATCTCCCACTTAAGAGGCTTGGAGGAGGGGATGGTGAGATGGCTCAGCAGGTAAAGGTGCTTGCTGAGTTCAATCCCTGTGTCCCATACGGTGGAAAAGAATCATCTCTCAAGAGTTATCCTCTGACCTCCATAGATATGTTTCAATATGCAAATGTGCACACCTACAAATAAATAAACATACCTCCCCATACTTCTTTAGGAAAATGCCTGGGGGAAAAATACATACATTGGTAGGTAAAATGCATCCCACTTGAGCATAGTTAGAAGTGAATTACCGGCTGTGTTGGACGTTACTGGCTTTGCAATGGCCTCGGATTTGGTTTCACAGAGGAAGTCATCGATGGAGGGGCTCAGGAGAGGTCTGCTTTCTTGCTGCTCACTCACCAGCTGAGAACAAATGAACACAGGCATCAAAGGGTTTCTTTGCTAAACTGCTGAAGCAGGTGAATGAAAACGCAGCCCTGCAACACAAGAGGACAAGCAAGCCCTACTGAAATCAACACAAACAGAAATAATAATGGGGTGGGGCAGTAGAGAAAACAAAACATTACCACAGGTGAGGAATGAGCCTTCAGCATTGTTAACATATTTTTGATGCAGCCAACTTCAGTGTTAAAGCTTAAGCCTGTTTCTCTCTCTCCTGGAGCGGCTTTAGAAGCATCTCTGGTTTCAGCACATGAGAAGAGACACCTGTTCCATCACAGTTGCTATGGGCTAATGCCACTCTCTATCTGGACTGAACGTTCTAGGAAGCATTGGGCCAGTGGCTTCAGATTCCGGGGTGATGGGCTCTCATGAGGACTAGCTACTTGGTGTTTATGGATGAGATGTACACATGCATGGAACTGTGTAGTGTTGGATGAACTCTACTTTTGTTCCTGTCTTAAAAGCTCAAGGTGCTTCACACTCCCCCCCTGCCATTTCCTTAGAATGGTTTTGTAGGACATAACAAATATTATTTGAGATAAGAAAATATGATTGTATTACCTGTCTGGGAGTCTAGTAGGTGTTTGCAAAAACCTTTAGTCTAATGGGATTAGATTCCTATAAGCATAATCCTACTTTTCTATTAATTTATTCTATAATTAGTAACTTGTTATACTTAAAATTCTGACTGAAAACTGTTTTAGTAGGTTTCTAGTTACTGATGGTGACCAGCTATTTACTGCTTCACCTTGAATCCACACTTTCTATAGTTAAGAGAGAAAATACACATATAACAAGTAGTTAATCCTTAACTTAGGTGTCTTGATTTCTGGGCAAAACACAGTAGTTCGATTCTTCTTGTGATGAAGAAAAAAATGTGCCTCAAAGTTCCTAGAATTTTAATAACTAACCTGCTAAGGTTTTAATTTTTTAAAGAACATAAATTAAGGAACAATGGGCTTTGGAGTATTACCAAGTCAAAATTTAGAACTCCATTCATTATCATGCCATTGTGTTTCCAGCTCAGTGGCCGTCAGAGACCGGACACCCAAGCACACAGTTCTTATGACAGTGCATCAAACCTCGTATTTTATAGAGAATTAAACATTTGATTTTCATACATACTTGTGGATATTAGTGAGGGATACCATAGAGATCACCCTTCTTTTAGTGTTTAATTATTGTTAGTTTCAATGTTACTACATACAAAGACCCATTTTACTGCGAATCACATTTTCTAAGGTGGGGGTGGTTTCAACCCTTGTTGTTTGTTTTAAAAGATGTTCCTTTAACCTATGAATGAAATTCTTATCCGTTTGCTCTTTGTTTTCTGGACTATTCTCCTTGGCTATCCCCTGTACTGTCTATTTTGAAAAAGTTTTAAGTGTTTTAGGGTCTGTGAGCTCCCTGTAGTTTCTGGGTAAGACATTTGAGTTTTAAGAATGCTATGATCAACTCAAGTTTAGGAATTAGCTGAAGTATTTTCTGGTATAAAAGTCCATTTTATGATCTGAAGATGTGCTTGAAATCATTGGTAAGGCATGTAAGATACCAGAAAATGACAAAATGGCTAACCTTCAGTGATTCTGTGTCCAGAACTGTTTTTCATACAAGCAGCTTGAGTACAACATTGTGCAGGGAACAGTTTCTAGTATCCAGGCATTATGTTGGGTGTAGTGATTTGCTCTCTTGTCCCTCAGTATTTAATGAAATGAACCTTTCCTGTGGAATGTGGTGTGGATGCCAAAATTTCTGGAGGCTGACAGTCACCATCAAGCTAGACACCACACTGTACTCTGAGATGTTCCTCTAACAGCCCTGCACTCACCAAGCAGCACAGGCTGCTTACCAGTCCCCTGGCCTTGCTGGATAACATGTTTGAGACACAACACCATTGTGACCTTAAAAGTATGAACATTACTTATGATGCCGCAGCTATTTCTCTGATAATCAGGGCTTTTTCTAAGGGAAGTCTAATTTTACAACAGATAACTATGTATAACTAAATTCTCTTTGTTGATTTTTTAATACTGGTGAAGTATTTCTTGAGTAACATTTTTGTTTGGAGAAGAATTTTGATAGTGTTTGGTTTTGAAATGTTCATGTATACATAAGGGCTGACTTGCGGATAAGACCTATGTCTAAACACAAAGTTCACTTATATCTCATACACACCTTGCACACATGCCTGAAGATAAGTTTATGGAATAGGTTTTGTGTGTCTGCTGTTTTGGCTGGCACATGCCCTTTGACGCCAGACGCTTCCACTCATAGCTCCATATTGGAACTTGATAAGTTTTGGATCTTATTTCAGAATAGGAATGTTCAACCTGTATCATTTTTAGTAATAGATAAACACAAGTTATATTACAAGAAATGTTCTGTGGTAATCCTTTTCCAAAATAATGAAAGGCTAAGACGTTATCCCTGAATCCTGATTCTGGACACGTGGATTCAGAAAAGACCTGAATTTCTATAGCTTAGAATACTGGGATAGTAAACTTCTGTAGATACTTTTAGTTCTTAATGCCGAAAACCACCCTGGATATTTGGTGAATTCCAGAAAAACCATTGTTTATATCAAGATCTAAATGGAAAATCAAGTAAAAGGCACTACTGAATAAGGGCTTTCTTCAGAAAAGCATGCTTGTCAAAGGCAATAGGACTTTGTAGGTGTTGCAGTCACTCATTCCAATTTCAGATGGAGTCCCCGAAGGAAGGAAGAACCAGCAGTCTGCTCAGACTCACTCAGCACCAAAGGAATGAGAACCAGGGGAAGGTGGTCCAGTACAATTCCATGAAGTCCAGGACAGAGTCATGTCTCTTCTGTCTGTTAGACCCCTGCCCCTGCAAGGATGGTGTCTCCTCAGCATTCAGTGTCCTGCTTCTGATCACTGGTGACTCCAGGATTGATGGGAGCTCTGTGACGGCCACCTCAGATTGCTATGTCTTTCTTGAGGTTTCATTCCAGAGACACAAAACAAGAGGGCACAATGAACAGCCTTTAGAGTTAGCGTTTCTCACGCTGGACCAGTGTGGTGGTGCTCTCTCTGCAGTGGGATGAGGCTAGGGTTCCACGTGAAAGGTCAGATGACAGAGAGCATGGAACAGCCATTAAAACGGGTCAGAAAGAGCTTGAGCTTGGATAAAGATGTGGAAGATGGGGTGAGGGGCATGGTGACGGCAAAGGAAGATTCCCTTACAGGGTCTGAGGTTAGACACAACCACAGCTCACCCATTATAGCCTTCACAGCTTCTAGCAGGGAAATTTCATGCAAAGGGTGTTGCAGAAATGACTGACAAATGAGACAGCAGCTGGGCAAGATCTTAAGGCACAAAAATGTGTATCTCACACAGTCCAATTAAGTAGACTGAACATTATTTTAGTCACGGCAGTGGAATTTTAAAGTGTATAGACAGGATTGGCTTCCTCCATGCCCTCCTTCTCATTCTAAGACAAGCAGTTTTCCTCATGGTGACTTAAGAATAAAAGAATCTTTCAGGTCACAAAGAAAATGTTCAAGCTGAATGAATCCCCAAATAATTCTGCTAAACTTTCCTTTGAAATAGTGTACTATGGATTCCTTCCTCATTCATCAGCAGGATGAAGTTCCGGAGTTTAGAGTTACTTCAGTTGTCTTGAAAACACTTTATCGATTTCCCTCATTTAAAGCTTTGGGTACGGAGCACATCGGTGTCATTAAAATGTGCCTCAAAGGTTTCTAGTTATTTCCTAATAACTGAGTCAGGTGGTTGCAATTTTGATAATCAGTTTCTTAGATCAGATTATCATAGCTGAGTTTAAAAGGCCCACTTCATTAGGTGTAAGGTTTTTGTCTCTGTTCACATCTTTACATTTCCATTTCTTCTCTGACTGTGCTGTCTTCTCAATGTTTGCAACAGTTCAGAGGTCCCTGAAGACATAGTTCAGTGAGAGAATGTGTGCTTACTATGTGCAAGGCTCTAATTCAATTCCAAGCACGTGCAAAACAAGCCCATGGTGGTAACCGGCATGTACTTCCCGTGCAGGAGTCCCTACAATGGCACACCTTGACCTTCAGTGCAGGGGGGTGAGCACCTTTTAAATCATCCCCATATCTGTGCTTCTATAGTGCCACCATCTTAGTTTTAGGGTTTCCTACTCGATAGACTAGAACTGTCACGATATTAGAGACTTTTTAAATCTTTTTTTTTTTTGCATCCTACAGTAGTGTTTTAATAAATGCTGACAAGTTTTATGTGGTGTAACTGGCTGATTGTACAGTAGAATAATCACGTGGGCATCTTGGACTTCATACAGAATTTGAGCAACCCAAGGCAAGATTAGTGGTCTTTCAAAATGCATAGCAACTTCCTAGAAAGCGTTAACCCATACGTTCAGGTCCATTTCCTCCCAGGGGAGTGTCTTTTAAATGGGTAGTATGGTGGCACCTAAGCAGCATTGTTGTAATTGGAGTAAGGGTGCTGGTTTTTCTAGCAAGAGGTGGAGAACGTCAAGAATTAACATCTGAAAAGCGGTGGACATTCATTCAGGCCTAAGCCAGTCCAACACCACCACCCCTGGCAAGGAGGACATGGACACAGGTGAATGGGAGGGCGAAGCCACCTCAAGACATAATCTCCTCATCCATTTTTTATTTTAAATCAGAAACTTAAATCTGGAGATTTTGAGGGAAGATACGTCAGAAGAAACAGAAACTGGGGTACAGAAGAAGGTAGGTGAGGATTTGCATGAAGGACTTCCTTGTGAATCAGGATTCAAAAAACAACTGAGCCTTTGTATTTTACTGTTAATCAAATATCATCAGGTGATTTCAATTGGGTTGTAACCTATTAAAGACTGGTCAGTTACCATGGTCAGTAGCTGCTGCCACACAGATGCAGGTAACACCGGTAGTTCTATGGATTACTATCAATACTTTATTTGAAAGTACCATTGACTCAGTTCCATTTTAACTCCTCTAGTTTTAGTGCTTCAAAAAATTAAATTTTAGTATGCGGGTTATTTGAACCAAATTGTAAGGAAATATTTTACTTAAAATCATTTCTTTTATTTTTTGAGATTATAATAGAATTTCATCATTTCCCCCTTTTCCTTCCTCATTGAAACCCCTCCTTGCTCATTTTCAAATTCGTGGACTCATTGAAAAATATTTTACTTTTAAATATATTCTGTTACTTAGAGTGTATAATTATGTTACTTTGTGACTAAAATTTAACTTTATCTTCAAACAAATCATTACTTAGGGTTTACCTTAAAAGAAATAGAGTGAAAATTTGTGTCTGACAACAAAGCAAAATGCATTTAAGATAATCAAACAGCACATGAGATATTAATCCCTGAAAACTCTGATGTTTTCACTTCAGGTCAATATTGTGCTCTGTTGCTTAAGCATTTCAACACTTAGGGAATACTTTTTAAAGTTAAAACAATAAAGTTGGTGCAGGCCAGTTTTAATTATCTACTTGACACTACATAGAAATGCCTGGAGAAAGTCTTAATGAGGGATTATTTAGATTGGCTAGTGGGTGTGTCAGTGGGGGATTGCCTTGATTGTTAACTGAGGTACAAACACCAATACTACAGTGGGTGGTATCATTCCCTAGGTAGGCGGCCCTGAATAGTACAAGAAAAGAGAAATCTAAGAGCAAGCAACCATGAATGTATATATTCTCTTTTTCCTCTTGACTGTGAATGTGGTACTGTAGGGTTCTACCATGACTTCCCTACAATAATGGGCACAGCCTGTAAAACAGATAAACTCCTTTCTTTCCAGGTTTCTCTTTGTGAGGGTATTTGTCCCAGCAACAGAAATGAAACCAGGGCAGCTGTAAACTGGAAACAACTGATAAATAATCTCATATTTGTAATGTTGATGTAAATATCAGAGTAATAGACACTGAGAATTTTAAGCTCGATTTGTGTCTACGGGAACAAAGCACAAATATGCACCTGTGCATTTAAAAACTCCCTTATTGTGTGCGACATTGTTGGTTTGAAGTGTATGTCAGTTGTGGGGTAGCTTTTCATTTATCATTTTGTTATAGAACTACTTTATAGCTTATTAATTCTATGCAAATTTAGGGTTCATTGAATGCCCATCAAAATAGTGACCTTATGTGGGGGATTCTCTAACATGAAATGTGAGTTGTCTAAGTCTATTGGTAAGTTAACCATCATGCAGCCCTTAAACAGTCTGGCTTCAGAGCCTGGTCATGCCTACCCTGATACCCTAGAGCTTCAGGTATCTGTGTACTAACAGCTCCACCCCCCCATCACCCATGTTAGTTCTTCTTGTCACCGTCAAGGTCAAACATCCTCCAAATCCTTGACAATCATACTTTCTCTAGGCAGGACAGTTAGATGTATAAAATTTATCCACTTGTGGAGAAAGAGATGGACAATGCCATTCCACGTTTGGGCAGTGTTATTACTAAGGAAGGTAGGTGCATACACCTAAGGCAATCATTTTTAACCCAAAATGAGGCTATGTTTAGTCACCTTAAGAACATTTTCCCAGTTAAGGACTTTGCTCTTTTGCTCTTTATCATGCACAGAAAAACCAGATTCCTATGGAGGGATAAGAAGTGGGAACAGACGCAGCATGGAGGTGGAGTAGGAAGGAAAATGCCCTTTATGCAGAAGAGATGCAAAACTCAGTTCTAAGACATTGCACTCTGGAGGAAAAAGGAGCCTGGTATACCTTTATTTAAAAAGCCAGGAGATTAAATCCTCCCTCAAGTTTCCTCCAGAGAGGAATATACTCACTAAGCCCATTTTGTCTTATAAAAACAAACCCTCATATTCCATGGCATAATCTTTGTGTGCATGGGTTTCTGTCTATCATAAAATTAGATCTGCTTACAGTGTCACAGCTTACAGCAGCGCTGCTTAATATAAACAACAATAAGTTTACAATATAAAAACCTTCAGTGGTTATTAACAAGTGAAAATAATTTCAGCAACACATTTAACTCAGCATCTCCAAAATATTTCAACATGTGATCAATAAAAATTATCAGCATGATAGTTTGCATATTTTGGGATTGAGCATTCAAAGTCTTTTTTCTTTTTAAAATGTTTGCAGCAAATCTCAGAAGCTGAAACTGCCACGTGAGTAGTGACTACAGCACTGGAGAGAGCCCAGGCCTGAAGGAATTTTTTCCTCAAAGATTTAGCAATCTGTATTTTTCCTTCAAACCTTTTATCAATGTATGCCTGTTTACAAACTTTTGGAGTTGACATTAACTTAGGGCAGCATGAACTTGGACTTGTTTGTTCCTATAGAAGTAGTAATTATACCTTCTGGGGTCTAGTTTTTTGAATCCAGTCATCTGGATAATTCTGCTGCTTTTGTTTCATCTGCCAAAGATGGTATCACTGGAAAATGACTAGCTAAATCTTTCTCCAAGTTCTAGAACAAGTCACAGCATTGGCTTGTTCTAGAACAGCATTTTAAAATGCTGAAATATTGGGCTGCTGAGTAAACAGTTACTGAACACGGTGCTGTAACACCATAGAATATTTTGTATTTATCTTTTATGATTATTCTGAGAGGGTAGCAATTGGCTTCAGACATGTCTGGTGTCTATGACATGACATCTGGCATTGATATACCAGGGATGAAGATGAGTTCTTGTACTGAGCAATATGTAGTGCTATGTCATAGTGGTCTTTACAACAGACACTAGGACAAACATGTCAAGACAGTAGGACATTTACACAGGTTAACAACTAAGAAATGTGGCATGGTAGACGGACTGGATGCTGTGGTTGCCATGGGAAGTACTCACTTTTTCAGCTCACTCAGCTTCTTTTGACTTGTGCATGACACTGGTGCATACCAGGGGGGAAAAGCCACTCATGTGTCATGTAAAAAACATATCAGCTAATAAAACTACATTTGGTTGAGAAATTACTGTATCAGAGCTGTCACTGAGTTCCATAGAATCATCATTACAACAAGTGCATCTCATTTTATGAATCAGAATTCTGTCTGCTGATTCATAAACTGGCCAATATGCAATAAGGATACAAAGCATTAAAGAAAGCATTACACAATCTTCATGCAGTAAAGTCATAACAAGTCTCTCAGAAACAGTCAACACAACACTAGACAGAGTTAAAAGGGCATACACAAATGTTCTGAATGTGAGAGGATGACAATATTCATGATTTCTCTACAATATCAAAAATGTCATTGGGCATGAAATTTTAAATTCAATCTTAGACTATAATGTTCATATTATACATGTGAAAATAATTACTGGGAAGTAACAGCAAAATATAGGTTTGGGAGACTCCAGGGATGTCTTAATTGTGGTATCCCAAGACACAATGGTATAGCATAAGAGTCAACATTATCACAGGTGTGTGGCTCATCAGCTGCCAAGTGCTCACCTGCCAATCATTCACAGAAGTATTATGGGCTGGATATTTTACATCTAGGATTCACAAAGGTCTGACTCTGATGGGCAGGTGATCATTGTAAAATGGTATATACTTCAGGTCAACTCAGTAAAAGACAGATAACTTGAAGACACTGAGGGTAAATCATCTTTTCTCTATGGACAACTACAACAACAAACCAACTCTCACAACATAAAATTTCCCAATTCTAGAAACCTTTAATAACTTAAAACTTTATTTAATTTTGGCGTTATATATAATTTTCATCACTTACAACGTGGCATTTAGAATAAAATAAAACCACACATGTTGGCAGCAGCTGGGGACCAGATCTGCTGATAGTCTGAAAATAAGCCACCATAATTTAGCTTTTGACAGAAATGCGCTTCATGGGGCCTGTAAATGGCCATTTTTCTAATTCTAGGCGTGTGCATAATCGGGAGAGAATCAGTGCATTTACGAATGCGTTATGGAAGAAATGAAATGTTTAACATAACAACCTAATCTAAATTATAATATAAATGCAAGAAAAATATTTTTCATCTCAGAATTTAAAACTGGAAACTGCACAGGGTGGCGATGAGTCTGCTATAGATATTTATGGAGACTTTTACAGGGTGTTTCGGGAGTCCCCAGGCATGTGCAGGATCAGTCTCAGTGCGTCTCCAAAGACACATGTGGACTTTTTTCTGTGTGTGTTACAATAAAGGCTGAAAATGGCCCCTTAGTGCTAGAAATAGGGATGGTGTTTCCTCATCAGGACCACTAAGTGTGGGGAGGAGCAGAGAGCCATTTTCTGCAAGGCAACTCAGGGACTTCCGGCTCATTCCTGTAACTTAGTTATCGACATAAATATGTATAGACAAATGTGTAGTATGCAAAGTCACAACAAATATATTTAACATTTAAGAAAATGTAGAGCATCTACTGGTAAACTGACATATGTATACAATACGACTGGATTTATTCAGGAATTCGATTTTTTTTGCTTGTTATTGTTATTTCTCAAAGTCAACAAGACTCCTTTTAAAGAAGCAGAGTGTTATACACAGATTGTCTTAATTTTTAAAACTAAGGTTGAATAATGAAAATTAATAATCATGATCAAGAACTAATTTCTTTCTTTTGCAATTTTGGCTTTCATTTATATTTTACAGTTGTTTCATTGAAACTGCTCAAAAGATTTGCTTTTTTTTAAATCTGATGATCACATTTTTTGATACATTAACATATGTCAGCTTCCTACAGGAACCCTATGGGTCTGCCCACCTGTGATGTCACAGTAAGGAGGGGCTTTTCTTCTGCAGACTCCTCCCTCGGTATCTCCTTCATCACCATGGCAACAGCCTTATCTGCAGCCCTAGAGCCTTTGCCCTACAACAGTGAAACCAACAACGAATGTGTCAGGAGGCGTCTTGAAGTTATTTAGGACAAGATAGGATAATGTTTAGAGATCAGTCCGACATGAGTGAAGAGGTGGGCTGCTGCCAGGGAATCTTGAGGCTTTTGGCTGAGGAGAAAACACACAAAATCTGAAAGATTATTTGTGAACTTTTAGTTAGCTACTGTTTTCACCTGTCACAGTGGACCTGTTTAACATAGTACTTTTATATGTATAATATATTTGAAGGCAATTAATATGAGAGGAACGTATTTTTATAGTATCAATTTTAGCATGCTATGATTTTCCTGTTGTGTTCGTTTATAAAGTATGGCGAGATAGCCCCTAGAGGCAGATTAGAGCCAGGATCTGATTTGCTAACAGCTTTCACTGGGTTTTTCTTGGACTCTTATTTTTCAGTGAATTTGGCATAAGGAATATACAAAATTCATTTCTTAAGTATTCTTTACATACCAGGGTTTTATCCATGGTGTTCTATGGGATGGTCTGACCTGAGTCAACTAGAATTTCTTCCCCTAATTTCAGTGTTTCTGGACCAAGGAACCTCAGTACAATTTTAAACATGTCTTTTAACTGAAGAATTCTATAAATATACAAGTGAAATATTCCCATTGGGGCAGTGATCTTGCTGTATCTGGTGTTGGTTTGACTCACATAAAGAGAATTGTGAACCACCAAGGGATGTTATAATTCTATCCTTTGCGCTGACCAAATTATAAGTTTATGAGAGTAAATATGTGTATGTCATCATGGAACAAAAGAAAACATCACTTTCCCAATAATCTCTTGGTACTTTCAAAACAAAAACTTTCATTTGTTTCAGGTCTCTTGCCAGAACCTCCCTGGAGAAAATAATTTTATACTAAAAGCATATAAAATATTTGTGTTGTCAAGTTACTTAAGATATATCTGTCTTACAGAGAGACTCGTGGACAGGTGTTAAGTGTGTGTGTTAAGGGGAATGTTGCCTGGAAAGGGAATTAACTCCAGAACTCACCAGAGCTGGACAGCCTCACCTATGCAATACAGGAGGGCTTGGAATATATTAGTATTTTAGATGTTTCAAGGACATCTGAAAAGCAGGTTCGGGGAGCAAACCTCTCCATTTACTCGGGTTCTAACCTAAACTGTAGCCAGACATAGCTTATATTTTCAGCTTAAAAGGAAACCTTTATGTACAGTTACTAGATTTTAAGACTTGTTTGTTTTGGCTTAAGGACTGTATTGTTAAATGACATTGTGTTCCTTCCCAAGATGAATAGCAGGTACTGGAGCTATAATTTCACAGATGGATCGGTAAGAATTTGCATGTGTGTTCTCAAAAGACTACGTGGCCTTGATCCTTGGGCTCACTGACTTCTGGAAGAATAAAGGGAAACTTGATGTTTCATTGCAGAGTCAATTGGGGTAGACAAGAACTCCAGGTTTCCTCTTTAATGAAGCAATGTGACTTTCCTAAAATAGATAATAGCACAATTCTGAATTCTGGGGAAAGATGGATTGGGATACTATTCAGCCATTTAACATGTCTTTCAGATATTAACATTGTTTGAGTGAAACAGTGCATGCTACTAACTTACTATATGTTTATAAACTATGCTCATTTATAGAGAAATAACCATCCTATAACATTTATTTCTGCAACTTTTCAAGAGCAAAATCATTTGCGAAGAAGTCTTTCCATGCTCTAAGACGTTCTACTAATATAGCAATAAACAAAGTGGCATGCTTATATTCAAACCCTACTATATTTAAAGGACCGAATCTAGTATTATAAGGTACAACTGAAAAGCAGTAACTCAGACTCTTCTTGCGATGAGAAGGAAGATATCAATTGATAAGCATCTCAAAAAATTTCAGGTGACTTTTTCAAAATGTCATTTATTTGAAATGCTACCAATCTAGGAACTACAAAGAGAGAATTTTTACATGTGCAACTATAGTAGCTAGAATTAGCAACAGACATGCTTTTTACTAAAACCGAAACAAAAACCAAACAAAAATTAGTCCTTTCATGCTGAACTCTAGAACAAAGCAGTGGTCGGCTGAAAGGTTGAATCATAAACACATGCGGGGCTTTGCATTTCTTGCAGAAAAACCCACCAAAGCCAGGGTCAGGTCACTTTTTTGAAGACAGTGCCATTTTTTCTTCAAGGTTACACCTACTACCTGGAAAGAGTCATGATACCGGGTTAGTTCCCCGTTGTAACTGTCAGCTTTAGTGCCAACACCCCATGAATTTTGTCGTTTAACAAATGTGATACAGTCTGAGCAGCAGAACTCTCCAGGCTCCCTCTTTGTGACTGCAGAAAGGGTATCTGAGAGCCTGTCATACATGGTGACTCCACTCATCTATCCAAGTTCCCCTCCCGTCCTAATGACACCTTCATCTGCTGTCCTCCATTCAGCCTGTTATGGCTGACTATCCACCTAATTTGTAGGATGCTGCTCCTAAAATCTAGATTCCAGCTGGCATGTGATATAGTGACTCTGCTCAATTTTGCCATGAGTAGTTCTGTAGAACCAACAGTAGAGCTGCTGTGTTGTGGTGTTCTTTACAGAGGGCAGTTGCTTAACACATTCCAAGAAACCTAAATACACAATAGTTCAACTTCATAGTCATAGCGATACCAAAAGGTCAACACTGACTTAGTATTTGAGACAACGCGAAGACAACAAAATGAAAACACTCCTGGAAATGCATTCAAGCAAGACATGCGTTACACACTTCACACTACACGAAGCCATCTACTCCTACCCCACGCTTAAAAAGAAGAGGTAGGAAGTGGATTAGAAGGTGACTGAGATTTGTCTCCTTAGGACTGCCTCAGCTGTTATTTCAGCCACTCCTTTTCTGATCAGAGGTGAACTTCACTTTTCCTCATTTCCTTCTCAAATTTCTTGAGATGTTTTTAAGTAGAAAACACTGCATGCAAAGGGTAATATTTTCCTTGGTACTTTGCTGTGAGAACTCCATGATAGCTCTCATTACTTTATAATTGCCTTCTTCAACAATAAAACATATAAAATGATAACACTTTAAACAATTCTGGAGAACAGTATTTTCAACTCTTGTTAGGAAAAATAGGAAGATATCACTGAAACACAGGGTTATGGCAAATGACATTGACATTTGTTATTTAAGAAAGTTAAGCTTTGACTCATTGCTTTTCTTGTTTGTGATCTGGAATGGAAGATGAAGAGCAATGTTGGATGTCACAAGGCCGTCTCAGGCTGGGGAGCCAACAGATGGGGGTGGGGAGGATGGGAAGAAAATACATAGGGACAGGGAGGATGGAGAGCCAGCACATGGGGATGGGGAGCCAACATAGGCAGTTGGGAGGATATGGAGCCAATACATATATAGGGACAGAGAGGATGGAGAGTCAACCAATGAGGATGGACAGGATGCTGCTCCACTCCCTGCCTCTCAGGGGAGGGAAAGAAGCTACTAGGAGAAGTTGCCTCAAGTTCAGATTTCTGAGCCAGATACCTGACAAAAATTAGGTGTTCTCATGATAACTTGGTTGGCAGGTATACCTCACTTGGACACTTGAGATTAAGTCTGAATCAGAATGATTTGGTCAGTGCTCTTCTGCATCTGAAGTATAAGAGGAACCCAAACCCTTCCTTCCTACCACACCATCGTATCTAAGGGCCAAGGGCAGCTCTCCTCCCCTTCACGGAAACGACTGTTTAGGAGATCAATCCTTTACAGTGTAATCACTCAGACCAGCCATAAGCATACTATTTGTTTTGTAAAAGGGTTTCACTGTGTAGCCTAAACTGGCCTGCCAATCACCATGTAGTGCAGGCTGCCTTGAAGTGGTGCCGGCGTTCCTACTTCAGACTCCAGGTTGCTAGGATTATGGAAATCTTCCATTCCAGAAGAATCAGCCGACCACATGCGTGCTCACTTGGAAGCACCCTCCTAATGAGATGCTTCCCTTTCACCTTCATGTACAACTAATCCAGTATTCAAGGCATGCAATCTTTATAACTGAGATCCTAGCAGCTCCAGAAGTGCTAGACTCTTCTGGTTCATGCTCACGCTAAGTGCCAGTCTCCATCTTTAAGAAGATTTCCTACACATCTAGTTTGGGTGCCTGAAACACTTAGCATGTACAATATACAGATGCTCAGTTCATTTGTGATTGGTCTGCTACATACAGATTTTACTATGGCTAGTGTGGAGTTTGTAATTGGAAACATTTATTGCGGGTGTGTGTGTGCCGTGTGTGTGTGTGTGTGTGTGTGTGTGTGTGTGCATGCGTGCACACAAGTGCGTGCATCTGGAGCTCAGAGGACAACTTGTGGTTGTTTGTTCTTTCCTTCCACTATGTCACTTCTGGGCATCAAACTCAGGGCATCAGGCTTGGTGACAAGTGCTTTAATTGCCCAAGTCATCTTGTTGGCCCCATGGCATTTGTAATTTTTAAAAATGCTTTTATTGTCTTTGATCTATGTCTTTATCAGAGATACTGAATAGAAGAAATGGAAACGTACTAAAATAGGGGAAAAGCAAAAGATGACAAAGTTAGACACCCATCTTATCCCAGAACTAACGTGGATTTAACATATAACATTTGGTTTTGATTTAAATATCCATACATACTGTTGCCCAAAATGGGGAAACATCAAAAACGGGAAAATACAAATACAAATACAAATATCCCCAAGCACTGTATTTTATTTTGATAATATCAGAAATTAAATATTTCTTAGGATGACTATTTAAAGGATCGACATGTTCATGCTCATAATTGTGATCGAGTACACACGCACTCACAAACACATTCAGGCCGAAACACCTGCCATCTTCATAATTTTGAAATGTTATTCAGTTTTGTCCATGTTAAAAATGAATCCCATTCATGATTTCTTGCAGTTGGAGTAAGCACCTGTGGGAAGCTGGCTTTGAAAAAACCAGTCTCCGATGGCTGCCCATTGCGGCCTTGTGCAGAGCCAGCTGAGCATTCTTTCTCTCTGGGAAGATAAATGCCACACTAAGTGTCATGGTCTCTTGTGACCTCAACAGGAGAAAAGGGTATAGTGGAGCTTCCCAGTGGCCTCTGAGCATGGCCATTCCCTCCTGCCACTGCTGCCTGCCATTTTTGTGCCCTTTCCCAGATAGATGCACCAGTGTTGATCTCCAACACAAACCAGGCTTCTGCTCGGGCTGCTGTGACAGCTCCTTTACCCCGAGACCTCTCCATGTCCGGTTTTTGGTTCCTTTTTAAAGTTGTGGAAATGGAGCTAAATGCAGGTACACTAGTTCTTCTTTCTAACAATTTCAAAGGGTGCTCTGAGTTCCCTTTAGCCAAAGTTTTGTACCTTTCAAAAAGATTTACAGTTTCTCTCCCCTCACTCTCTCTCTCTCTCTCTCTCTCTCTCTCTCTCTCTCTCTCTCTCTCTCTCTCTCTCTCTCTCTCTCTCTCTGTGTGTGTGTGCATGCCTGCACGTGCACATGCACTTGCTTGTGTGGGTGCATACATACATGTGAGTGTAAGTGTCCTTGAAGGACTGGAGTTACAGGCAGTTGCTAGCTTGCCTAATACCCTACATTTCCGAGATACACAAGCAACTGGAACGTCTCCCCAGGCCCTTACTACTATCCTTTACTTAGTAAGATGTGCCCAGCTACATTTCATCAGTGAGACTGCCTCATGAGAATGAAGACCATGTTTATTCCTCTTGAACAATTTCACATCATCTGGTGCAGGTCTCCACAGGCGCATAGATATTTAAGTACATCCAGTGCGTACACCTCCTGAAGTTTTCTTCTGATTATTTAAGATGCTGGTATTATATAACATGGCCAACTTGGGCAGACAGTGATCCCGAGTTAGAGGTAAAGTTTTAATTAGATGTTTAAGGAACTTCACGCATACAAATAAAAGTTCATTAAAATTAATAAAGGGTTGCCGGGTGAAGTTGCCCGAAGTTTGCTCTGAAGTATAGTTTTTTTTTTAATTAACAGGATCTATTTTGTTCACAAGCAGCATGCCATTTGTTCTTTTGAGGTTAAGCCTACACCCCTCCCATCATGTCCTAAGATGGTCAAGGTGACATCTGACATGACAGAGGGTCAAGGTGACAGCACTCAGGCATCCTCACCTGTCTCCAGTTTTGGATTAAGATGTTTTATCATCAGGCTTCCAAAGACAAAGGGGACCACCAAACCACTTGTCATTCCATCTCAAGATCTATGCAGCAAGAAACTTTCTCACAGGGTGGACTGATTCAAATTATTTCTTTTCTTCCGACCTCATTTTTATATTGGGGATGACATAAATAATCTATTTGAAAATTAAGAAATAAATGTAGAATGATTTTTTTTGATAAATTTCAAGTGTGTTATATGTTGAAATGTCTTTGACTGGTATAAGAAGCATGCATCCCCTGAATATTATCCTAGGGTGGGGCTATTATTGGTTTTGATTTCTTGTCAAATATCATTTGCAAATGAGCATCCTCTGAGGAGAGTTAGTTTTGAGGGAAAGGGAAGATGTTTTTGTACTTGTCAGTAGTTCCTCTTCCCCTCTTTAGTACAAGCAGTCTGCACAAATCACTGGCAAAGAGCTGATATAAAGCTCACTCCCCTGCACAGATAGTAGCTGGGACTGCTGGAACCCAGGAAGAGGGGCATGGCATCTTTCTGAAGCGTTTGGGGCCTGGCACCTAAGTATATACAGGAGGCTAAGCTGGTGAGTAAGAGGATCTCAGATGGTGAACAGTGACAACAGAATGGTAGGAGCCATGCACAAAACTGTGGTTCCTTTATTATGCTCTATGTTGTCTGTAATTGGAACATATTTCAAGATAAAAAGAATAAATGGGAATCTCTACCGATAAACATGTAGTTACCAGAGAAAGTTCCCTTGGGTCACTTTTTTTTTTTAAATGCCAGCGATTAGACACATTCCCCAAATTTCTAGTACGTACGGTAAAGCAAAGAATAAGTCATAAAAAGAATTTCATCCTCCTGCTAAAGTGGTGGTTTTAAAATGTTGAGTGTTGTTACCCTAGAGCAAAGGTTAGTTCGAGGCCCTCCCCTTCTCCCTTTTTGAAAGACCTTCCATTTAATGTATAGTTACTAAATTACTGAATCAGAATTATCAAATCTAGCTAGATGCATGGTAGACTTGTCCTGCTATCTGTCTTCACTC